TATCCTTTTGGGTATGAAGAGCTGGTTTGTCTAAGCTTCTGGTTCTCTTTTTTGATTTTATATTGTCATGGCCGGACTGATTTTGTCTTCAGGAGTTCCATGGTGGACCAACTCCAATGTGGGTCAGAAGTTTTCAGACTTTCTCCTTAGTCTGTAATCTTCTAAGAATGATTTTGGCCTCAGGAACTTGGGTGTTGGACTGACCTGAGATCCTGGCCGTGGCCATGCCAGGCAGGTATGCAAAGGCAGATGGGGTGGGAAGAAGCCCCAAGATTTCCCAGGGAGTAGATTGAGTAGCTGGGTTGTACTGGATGCAAAGGATCAGGGAGAGTAAAGGTAAGCCTTGGAGCCCCAGAAAGAGGCTGGTGGGGGTTGCAGGACCAGGGAAGTAGAGGGAGGGGAGGGTGGGGCCAGGTCCAGAAGCAGTGCTCCTGGGGCCCAAGGAAGGCACTAAGTTGGTCTGGGTGAAAAATATCAGGAAGCAGTATTGGTTCCCCAGGTGTCTGGGGACCCAAGACTAGGAATGGCACAGGGCCCAAACTAGGAGTAGAGAACAGCGGGGAAGATGGAAGTGTGAATGAGTCCAGGGGAGTCAAGGCATGGAGGGCTCCGCGATAGACTTACCCCAAGAGAGGCCTGAGGGTAGGAGAGCAGGCTAGGAGAGTTAGCCGGTGGTGCAGGTCCAGGGAAGCAGAGAGAGGTGAGGGTGGGGCCAGGTCCAAAAGCAGTGTTCCTGGGGCCCAAGGAAGGCACCAAGCTGGCCTGGGTGAAAAGGATCAGGAAGCAGCACCGGTTCCCCAGGTGTCTGGGGACCCAAGACCAGGAATGGTGCAGGGCCCAAACCAGGAGTAGAGAACAGCGGGGGAGATGGAAGGGGAATGAGGCCGGGGGAGTCAAGGCGTGGAGGGCTGCGCCATAGACCCACCCCAAGAGGCCCGAGGATAGGAGAGCAAGCCAGGAGAGTTAGCCGGGGTGGTCTCTTTCTTTTTTTTTTTTTTTTTGGAGGTGAGGACTGAACCCAGGGCCTTGCACTTACTACGCTGAGCTAAATCCCCAACCCCAGGTTTAGTATTTCTTTAAAAATTTTAAAATTACATTTATTTAGTTTGTGTGTGTGTGTGTGCACACAAGTGTGTGTGCCATGGTACATGTGTAGAGATCCAAGAACAACTTGTGGGAAAAGCAGTTCTCTCCTGTACCATGTGGGACTGGACTCAGGTTGTCACTTACCAGTGAGCACCTTTATCCACTGAGCTATCTCTTTGGCCCCAAGATGAGATGGAAAACTGAGAAAAGTTTTTTCAGTGTGCTATAAAGAAAACTGTGAAAGAAATTAGGGGAAATAGAAGAGACCAACTATACATCAAAGTTAGTGGTAGAATTGAATAAATAAGCCAGAGCATAGTGTCACAGCGGTAATCCTAGCATCTAAGACAAAGGCAGAGACAGGGGGATCAGGAGTTCAAAGGTAGCCTGGCTACCCAGGGAATTCAGGGCCAGCTTTGGGCTCCACAGGGGCTTGAAACCAGCTTGGGCAATATAATGAAACTCTGACTCAACAAACCAAAAACAAATAGACAAGCAAATGAATAAGTGAACTTCAAAGTTTGCATTAGAAAGTATGTCTCAGTTTTATTTCTGTTGCTGTCATAAAATACCCTGAAAGACAATTTAGAGGTGAAATTATTTTAGTTCACAATTCCAGATTATAGTCCATCACTGCCAGGAAGTTAAGGCAGCAGGAGCTAGAAGCAGTTGGTCATGTCCACAGTCAAGCACAAAGAGAGAATGAAGGCATTACATGTTTGTGCTCAGGGTGCTTGCTCCACTCTTACACAGTTCAGGATTCCCTGACTAGGAGAGGGTGCCACCCACAGTGGGTCTTAATGCCTCAGTGAACATAATCAAGGTTTTCCCCCACAGACCTGCCCACAGGCCAACCTGGTCTAGATAGTCCCCCACTGAGACTCTATTCCCAGGTGATTCTAAATCATTCCACGTTGACAACTCGAACTAACTGCCACATTATTTTTATTTGGTAATGCTTTAGATATCGTCAGATCCTGGAAAAAGCCATTCAGTTATCCGGGGCAGAACAACTAGAAGCATTGAAAGCTTTTGTGGAAGCAAGTAAGTGGAATGGGAATGGTGTGTTTGCCTTGTATTACTGAGCTGGTACTTTAAAGCTTTCTTAAAAGCTTTTTTATAGATGGCCTCCATCAGACTCCATCAGATTGGCCTGAGGGCCTGTGTGTGGGGCAGTTTTCTTTCTTTTTAACTTAAAAGCCTTTTTTTTTTTTTAAAAAAAAAAATTAAAACAAATCAATGCTAAATAAGCTTTGAGATTGGCTTATTCCAGAATTTAAACTATTTATAGTTTGATTATTTTTCATTGAATTTTCAGTATTGAAATCCCAAGTTAGGTTTTATATAGTTTCTGATAGAGTGACATAGCATAGTGTAAAGGTAATGGTTTCAATTCAGATCCTGGTATGCTATTTTATGATCTTGGGTAAGTTGTTTAAGTTTTTTGTGCCTCTCTTCATCTACAAAATGAGAACATGACACCCTATAGAATTGTTGGATTAAATGAGTCAATAAGCCTAATAAAGTGCTGGCATTCAAACACTTGCTATGTGTTCACTGTTAATAATATTAAGAATATTCTCTTTGAATTGAGTAGAAATTTTCAATGGACTTTTCCCCAGTCCCAGCTTTTAGCATATTCCTTTATCATGAAAATTACTCAGAATTTAGGCTGAAATTCAGACTGAATTACCAACATTGATGGTGCTTAATGATGTGTGTGTGTTCTCACACACAATGTCTACCACATAGGCTGATTTAATCATCTTGTGATTGGACATGTAATTATAGGTATCCTTATATATTTTGTAAAATTAGTCTCAGGAGAAACTAACCTCCCCACGCCTCAGTCACCTTCCAGAGTAGTTAGGTTGCCAGTGGCAAAGCCAGACTACAAACTAGGTTTTCTGATTACTATACTTTTACTGTCCTTATTATCTTTCCTTGAATAATACTAGTTTGTGTAGTAGTTTTGGTTTCAAGTGACCAATTGCAATTGTAGTAAAACTTTCTCGTCACATCCCATATTATCTAATAATGAATTCCAATTAATGTATTATAAATGAATTAATTGCAAAAACTATTAAGTTACTACCTGCAGTATGAGGCAAACTGCCAGTGGTTTCAGAAAAAACTGCTCAGAATAGCTTTATTAGGAATATCTATTACAGTAGCAAGGGGATAGTACTTTTTATAAACGTTGGTCTTTATATAAAATTTGAATCCAAAGATCCCCAAGAAAAGCAATCTATATTTAAGGTTATTTATGTTAACAGAACTCAAACTTTTGAATCATCTTTTATTTTCATACTAACTGCTCCTTTGAGATTTGAATGATTTGTCTATAAACAATTAGTTATAATCATATGACATTTATAAATGTGTAAGTGGCCAGATGTGGCAGCACTCACCTTTAATCCCAGCACTGGGGAGGCACAGGTAAGTGAATCTCTGTGAGTTCGAAACCAGCTTGGACTACATAGTGAGACTGTAAATAAATAAATAAATAAATAAATAAATAAATTCAACAATAAAGTATGATGGAACCAGGCATGTAACTCAGTAATAGAACCCTTAACATATACAAGTCCTAGGTTCCATCCTCAGCACTGAAAAAAAAGGGAATGTAAAAATAGAATGATAATAATAACAAATATTTTTTAAGTGCTGTCAGGTTGTTTAGAGTGCTTTGTATTTTATTGCGTTTAAGTGTCACAGAAGTCTTATGGGGTAGTTGATAGTAGCTATATCATATATAAGGAAACAGAAGCATAGAGAAATTAAATTCTGAGTAATCAGTTTATCCTTAGAACATTGATGTTAGTCACATAGAGTGATACCTCCCACATGCTGGTATGTCCAGTGCTGACAGAACTTTTTATTGGAAAAGTAGAAATGGCATAATTGTGGTTTTACTATTTTCTTCTTTAACTCTGTTGTGGAGTGATTGGTGATAAAAGCATATAAGCAAAGTATAGATGCTCTCTGTCTTCACTTTGTAGAAAATAAACAGGAGAAAGAAAATATTAATTCTGAACTATTAATTTTTCCAGCTATTTCTGTTTCTTAGAAGAGTTACGGGGAATTTTTGCTGCTTTGTTGTAGTAAGTATGTAATCAAGTAAAATTCAGCATAGAGAAAACTGATTGTTAACCCTAGCACTCAGGAGCAGAGGCAGGCCAATCTTTGTGAGCCAAGGCCAGCCTAGTCTACACAGGGAGTTTCAGGTCAGCCAGGGCTACACAGTGAGACCCTGTCTCAAAACAAAGAAAGAAAGAAAAAGAAACTGATTGTATAAGAAGATGATAAGAATATGGAAATCTGTGAATAATGCATTGAAAGCTGCCCTCATAGAATTAAGTAGAATTTAATTGCTCAATGAAAATTTATGTGTTATTCATATTTTCAATCTCATTTTTTTAAAACAGTGGTAAATGAGAATGTCAGTCTTGTGATCTCACGACAGTTGCTGACTGATTTCTGTACACACCTCCCTAATCTGCCTGATAGCACAGCCAAAGAAATCTACCATTTCACCTTGGAAAAGATCCAGCCTAGAGTCATTTCATTTGAGGAGCAGGTACAATTCTAATCTTAAAATAACCGCAATTATTTTTATGATCTGATGTCATTAAGTTCTTGTAGGAGCTAACTAATAACTCAGTTTCATTTTTTATAAAACTGTGTCAAACAACATTTACAATATAAAATCAAATAGGTATTAGAATGTTGCAACTCTCACTGCAGTTTTAGTAAAGTTTTTAAAATTTAATTTTATTCATTATTATCATGTATTAGTATGGTGTGTGTGTCTGTGTACATGTGTACGTGGGTACTATGGTGCACATGTGCAAGTCAGAGGACAACTTTGAGGAGTTGGTTCTCCTTCCACCTTACATGAATGTATTCCAGGGATTGAACTCGGGTTATACTTTTGCAGCAAACACCTTTACTCACTGAGCTATCTTGTCAGCCCTAGTAAAATTATTACCGAAGGTGAAAACAGGAAAAACTCCAGCATCATATATGTAACAACATAAAAGCAAAATTTAATGTTTAAACAAAAATATTGCCAAAATTCACATTGCAGAAATGTGACATTTCAGTTCACTATTCTAATATTCTGTGTTACAAACTTTATGGAAAAAAATTGGGTGATCTACATAAACTTCTGCTATTTGCTTGTAGCTTAATATGCTGAATGAGAGCATTGTTACAGCAACATATGTGTCTACTGTTATTCTAGGTTGCTTCCATAAGACAGCATCTTGCATCCATTTATGAGAAAGAAGAAGATTGGAGAAATGCAGCCCAAGTGTTGGTGGGAATTCCTTTGGAAACAGGACAAAAGTATAGTAAATAGTGGATATTGTATTTATATATATATATATATATATATATATATATATACACACATATATGACATATTTAAATGCGTACTAACACTTTTTCTTAGATCCTAATGCAGGAAATAAAAATGAATGTTGTAGCTTGTTAGTCTGTGATAAATGCTCTGGAGAAAAGAAAGGGGACCAAGTGCTAACAGGCTGTTTGTATCATTAAATAGGGTGGTTGATTGAGATATTAGCTGTCCCTGCTGTTATGTTTTCAAAGACTTGGTGGTGTTAAGGGAGCATCTGAATTATATATGGCAGAGTATAACTAGGTAGCTTTTAGAAGGGGTGGTTAACACAGAGGTATTAATATGGTAACATACTTGCATTTTCTAAAGAAGAGTAAGGAAGCCAGGGTAGGTAGAGAGGCCAGGAAGGAAAGAGAAAGAAATCAGTGCCGAGGTCAGATTCTGTGAGGTGTTGAAGATGTTGTGAATACTCTGATTCAAAGTGAAAGGAGAGCTAGCCATTGGAGGATTTTTGAACAGAAGAGTGTGATTTATGATTAATGTGATTTATGTTTTAAAGACTCACTGACTACTGGGTTGAGAATAAACTGTTGGCAAGCAGTAATAGAAGTAGGGATATTAATTTAGAGACTTATCACTACCATAGCTCAGTGAAGGCTCTGAGAAATGTTGTATTCTGGATATGGTGTTTTGTTTTATTTTGAGATAGGGTCTTACTCTGTAGCCCTGGCTGACCTGGAACTGGCCATGTAGACCAGGCTGGCTAGCACTCACAGAGATCTGCCTGCTGCTGCTTCCAGAATGCTGGGATTAAAGGTGTGCACCATCATGCTAAGCTTTTTTTTAAACAAGATTTACCATGGCTTGGATGTGGAATATGCAAAATAATCCAGATAAATCCTGATATTTGGTTTGAACAGTTGCAGAGATGGAGTTGCCATCTACCAAGTGGGGAATAGGTTTTAAGGGATGATCAAGAGTTTGGATATATGGTAACCAAGTGAAGATGTCTAGTAGTGAGTCAAATATTTTAATCTGGAGTTAGGGTGGTCTGGGTTATAGACTGACATCTAGGAGTCATTGACTACCAAATTGAAAGCTATTAGTCTGAACTGATTCCTTCCCAGGGGAGGGAGGGAATATATACAGAGAAAAGGAGTACATACGAGGCCTGGAGCACTCCAGCCTCATGTCAGTGGCAAGAAGGAGCTGTAACAAATGGGAAGGATTGTTCATTGAGGTCCGAGCACCAGAAGAGTACAGTGTGCTCTTCTAGAAGCTGTATGAGGAAAAGAGCAAGGGATCAGACGTGGTACTGATGGGTCATACTGTGACTGGATGAGAGCTGTTTTGGTGAAATTGGAGAGTGAAAGCCTGATTGAAATAGTGAGTGTAGATAGCTCTTTGGGAGAGTTTTCAAAAGGGGAAGAAAGGAAATAGTGTAAGAAATCACAGTGGAAATTAGAGGTTATTATTTTATGATTGATCCATTAGAAAGCAAAAAATTGATATTGAGGAACTAGGAAAGGATTCTTCCAGGAGTACGTAGAAGGGGAAGGAAATCTAGTAGAGGGATAGGCTTTGGTAGGAGCATAGAGAGTTCACTGAAGGTAGGGTTTCTCAGTGTTGACATTTCAGACAGGATAATCCTTAGTTGTTGGGGCTGCCAACAACTGTATTGCAAAATGGTTAGCAGCATCTGGGCCTCTTCTTCCTAGGTGACAGTAGCACTGCCATCCCTAGTTGTGAGAAACAAAATGCCTGTAGACATTGCCAAATGTTCTGGACAAAATTACTCCCAGTGACAAAAGTATTAGGTAGGAGCATAGAAAATAGGTGCTTATATTAATGATACGGTAGAGTTGTGCAAGTTCTCTTTCATTATTTTATTTTTTATTTTTATTTTTTTGAGATACGGTCTCCTTGCAGTCCCAGCTGGCCTGGAACTTGCTATATAGACCAGGTTGGCCTCCTGAGTGTTCAAACTAAAGACTTGTGCCACTGTGTCTGGCTTGCTCTGTTATTCTTTTTTTAAAGTTTATTTTATATGTATGAGTGTTTTACCTGCATGTATGTAAGTGTACCATGTGCCTGCAATGCTGGCAGAGGCCAGAAGAGGGTGTTGGAGCCCCTGGACCTGGAGTTAAAGACTAGGTTGTTAGCTACCATGTGTTTGCTAAGAACCAAACTTGGGTCCTCTGCAAGAGTAGCTAGTACTCTTAACTGCTGAGCCATAAAAATTATTCATTTTAAGCTGGACATGGTGGTGCACACCTTTAATCCCAGCACTTGGGAGACAGAGGCAGGCAGATCTCTGTGAGTTCAAGGCCAGCCTGGTCTACATAGTGAGTTTCAGGACAGCTTTGGGCAATAGGGAGACCTTGTCTCAAAAAGACCAAAAAAAAAAATTACTCATTTTAATAAAAAAATTTTTTTATAGATTATTATTTTTTATTGTATGTGTATGAGTGTATTGCCTGCATGTACATGAGTGCACCCATGTCATGCAATGCTGCGGAGGTCAGAAGAGGGCATCGGATTCCCCTGGAACTGGAGTTAAGGACAGTTCGTAAACTGCCATGTAGGTGCTGGGAATCGAACCCGGGTCCTCTGCAAGAGCAGTCAGTGCTCTTAACCGCTGAGCCATCTCTCCAGCCCCTCATCTTAATTTTTAAAGTACTGAGTGTGATAAATATTCCTGTCAGAAAATTGAAAAATTTAAAGCTTAATGTGGTGTAAAAATTCATATAAATTTGAATTCCAAGTGAAAAACAGTATAAATGATTAATAATAAATGAGTAAGCAGAAATTTTGAATTTGTAGAAAATTTTCCTATGCCCTACCATCCCCAAATCAAAAACAAAGAATTAATTTTAAAATTGGAACCAAGTGACTTATAAATTCTTTTCTTGCTACATGGTATTACCCCTTTTGCTGATAAATAGAAAAGATTAATTTTCTATGAGAATTAATCTTGAATTATGTGAATTTTGAATTATGTGAAACCTTCAGTTCTGCATTTCTTGCATAAAGTATGACCACTGGCGTAAGGAGGAAAATGAAAACCATCAATCATATCACCACCATGCTAATTGATAGTATATTTTGAAATATGTATGGAAGTGCATTTTAATGGTGTTTTACAAACTATTGTATTCCATCTTTTTTTGTTTGTTGTTTTGTGTTTTTTAGAGACAAAGTCTCCCTGGAGCCACAACTGGCCTGGAACTGACTATGCAGTCCAGGCTGACCTCAATTTCCCAGAGATCTCACTATGTAGCTTTGACTAACCTGGAACTTGCTTATATAGACTAGGTTGACTTTGAACTCAGAGATCTGCCTGCCTCTGCCTCCTGAGTGCTGGGATTAAAGGTGTGAACCACCAAGCCTGGTGATATCCCACTTTTTCACTTAAAAAATACAGGGTGCCTATAAGTACCTAGTAATGATTTTAACTACATCATATTCTACCTTTTTATGCACCACAGCTTCAGTACTATAAATACCGTAAACAAGAGGTTTCCATTTCTTCCTATCGTAGATATTTATAAGTAATTTTACAAATTAATACCCTTGTAATAAATACACAGTCACGTTCCTTATTCTTAGGATTTGGTATTTGGAAGTATAGTGCATAAAGGCATACACAAGTTTAAAGAATTCAAAGGATAATTGTAGAGTTTCTTGCCGTTGTTTTCCAGGAAGGCTGAGTCTGACTATCGTTCCCGACAGTCATGTGTTGTATGCCCTGAAACTCAGTGGGGGTTATTTTAAGATCTTTGTCTTATGAGATTGTCTGAGGATAGAAGCAGCCATGATGCATTATGTTCAGTGACAATGAAAATAGCAGCAGTTTAATGAAACAGCTTTTAGTTTTTCTATACTATAGTAAGAAAATTAATTTCCTTATATTAATAGAGTATATAAAAGAGAAAAACAGTTTTTATTATTTGTAAAATTTTTCTTGACAAGATATTGAGTCAGTCTGTATTTTTTAAAAATTTATCCTAGACAGTACAATGTAGATTATAAACTGGAGACTTACCTGAAGATTGCTAGGCTATATCTGGAGGATGATGATCCTGTCCAGGCAGAGGCTTACATAAATCGAGCATCCTTGCTTCAGAATGAATCAACCAATGAACAATTACAAATACATTATAAGGTAACAAATGAACTAATTTGGAATTAATTTTGTATTGTGAATCATATACCAAAGTGTTTCAGACCATCTGATGAAATGCTTATATATTTTAGAAATTCCCTTTTTCTCAATTTTCCCTTAATCGGTACATTTTCCCTCTGTAGGTATGCTATGCACGTGTTCTTGATTATAGAAGAAAATTCATTGAAGCTGCACAAAGGTACAATGAACTCTCTTACAAGACAATAGTCCATGAAAGTGAAAGACTAGAGGCCTTAAAACATGCTTTGCACTGTACCATCTTAGCATCAGCAGGTAAACATGCAATTTATACTAAAATGAAGTGAGCTTTCTTTGCTTCATAACTTTAGAATGATTACTATGGAAATATTTAGCAAGGAATATTCCTCTAAGGGATATCTTAAGGTAAATTTACTTTAAACATACAAACAAAACAGGAATAAAGTGATTTTTTTTCTTAAAAAATTTTAATGTTATCCACACATTAGGAATACCTTAAAAAGAAGGCTGGAGAGATGGCTCAGAGGTTAGGAGCACTGGCTGCTCTAGCAGAGAACCCAGGTTTGGTTCCTAGCACCCCATGGCGTCTAGCAGTCCATAGCTCTAGCTCCAAGGGATCTGATGCTCTCTTCTGATCTCTGTGACCATAAATATATATACATACACATAAAATAAAAAATTAAATTTTAATTAAAGAATACTTAAAAGAGATAATAGAAAGTTTAATATAAAGTTTAGTTAGAAAATTTCACTAAAAAAATGAATATCAAATGAAAATTATAAAGATGGAAACAAAGATAAAATTCTAAAGATTGAACTGGAGAGATGGCTCAGCCCTTAAAGGTGCTGGTTGCCAAGTGTGACAGCCTGAGTTTGATCCTCAAGACCTGTGTGGTGGAAGGGGAGAACTGATTCATGCAAGTTTTCCTCTGACCTCCACAGGTGCACCTTGGCATGTGTGCCTGCCTTCATGCACATATTAAATAAATAAATGTAGTAAAAAAATTTTTTGTGGTCTTTTTTTTGAGATAGAGTCTCCCTGTAGCCCAAGCTGGCCTGGAACTCATTATTGTAGACCAGGCTGGCCTTGAATTCTTAGAGAATTCTGCCTCCCAGGATTAAATGTGTATGCCACCACACCCAACTGTAAAAGTTTTTTTAATCTGAGAATTGATGATATAGTAATGAATATACTCCCTTTCAGTTTTTGTTTTAATCTTCAAGCTTCAATTTTAAACCTGGAATTCATTCTTTTCCTTAATAAGTATAAAGTTTTTACTGAATTCAGTAGCATATAAAGCTACTTAAAAGTATATATAAAAAGTTGGGCTGGAGAGATGACTCAGCAGTTAAGAACACTGGTTGTTCTTGCAAAAGACCCGGGTTTGGATCCCAGCACCCACATGGCAGCTAACAACTGTCCATAACTCCAGTTCCAGGGTATCCGACAGCCTCTTCTGTCCTCGTGGGCATTGCACGACATGGGTGCACTTATATGCAGGCAGTACACACATACACATAAAATTAAGTAAAAAAAAGTATATATTAAATATATATTAAAAAAAAATATATAAAGCACCTTAAAAGTGGAAAGGAGCATTATGAAGGAATACTGTAATATATAATAAACCATGACTTTTCTGAGTCATTCTGAAATCTCTTCCTGAACTGTAATCAGTTGAAAGCTAATGACATATTTAAATGTTTAATTCTTTATGAACTAGTAATTTTATTTTTGTCACTGAAAAGGCAGTGCATGAACATGGTACTACTTCATCTTCTAAAGAACTATTGTAACTCCTGTGTATTTCCTTTACTTAAAAAGTGTTTTTTTTTTTTTTTTTTAAATAACCATTGGTGGCAAGGTACACACTTACTTTTTCATGCAACTAAATAGTAGTGATTGTTACATATTAGTATATATGTTCAGTTTGATTTTCTATTGTTTGACTTTGTTACAACTTATAGTCTTTGTAGCTTGCAGCCAAGGATAACTATGAATGCAGTCCAACACAAAATTGTAAACTTACTTGAACCATTATGAACCTTTTCTTCTAACTCAGTTGCATGGTTCTTGAGTATGAACTCTGTTCTACAATGTCAAAAGGTTGGACACACCTATATGCTGTAATGCTTAGGCACCCGCATGGTGGCTAACAGCAGTCCATAACTCCAGTTCCAGGGGATCCAACTCCCTCTTCTGTCCTCTATGGGCATTACATTTACATATGTGCAGTTGTAATACTCATACTCATAACACACACACACACACACACACACACACACACGTACACAGACTCTTCACATATAAAAGAAAATTGACAAACTTTTTCAACTTGTCCATATTGAACTTTATGGCATTTTTGCCATGCAGAAATTTTATTATTATTATTTGTGTGTATGTGTGTGTGTGTGTGTGTGTGTGTGTGTGTGTGTGCGTGCGTGCATGCTGGGAATGGACCCCAGTGCCTCATGGATGCTACAACTGAGTTATATCACTAGCCTCTGATCTTTATTTATTTAATTTGCTTTAAAAAGATTTATTTTTATTTATGTGTATATGTCTGTGTGAGTGTATGTCATGTGTGTGTGTGTGTGTGTGTGTGTGTGTGTGTGTGTAGGTGCCTGAGGCCAGAAGAGAGTGTCAAATCCCCCGGAACTAGAGTTACAGGTGGTTGTGAGGTGGTAATGGGAACCAAACTCTGGTCTTCTGGAAGAACAGCAAGTGTTCTTAGCCACTGAACTAGTTTTTAGCCCTATATTAGTTTTTCTATTTTTTGAGGTGCTAGAGATTGAACCCAGGGCTTTTTACTTGGTAGGCAAGTGCCCTGTCAATTTGTAGCCCTCTAATTTGTGTGTGGTTTAATTTATCAATTTTTTTTTTTTATGGCTCCTAGGATCTTTTGACTTGCTTAGAGAGGTTTCTGGTTTTTTAATTCCTCAGTACTTTAGGTTCTGAAATTCTTTAGCGCCCAGACCCTTTTATACCTAGAAAAACATTATCAAAAACTTTATAGAGCTTTTAATACAGTTTACAATCTTTGCTTATTGTATTATAAATTTAAATGAGAAATTTGAATATATTATATATGTATATATATAATTTATTTAAAAGTAACAGTAAGCCTGGAGAGATGACTCAGTGGTTAAGAGCACTTGGCTGCTTTTGCAGAGGACTCAAGTTTAGTTCCCGGCACCCACATGGTGGCTGACAGCCATCTGTAGCTACAGTTCCACGAGATCCAATCCCTTCTTCTGGCCTCTGTGGGCATTGTACCCTCAGGTACACTTACGTATGTATAGGTAAATCACTCACACACATAAAATAAAAATGAAGTAACAATAATAGATGTATTAATGTATTTTTATGGAATAAAGTAAATAGCAATGATGTATTTTTATGAAAAAGAATTTAATTTTCCAAAACAAAAATTAGCTAAGAGTGAAATTGCTTTACTTATATTCAGGTTTCTTCAATCACTAGTTTAATAGAACACAACTATGCTACTCTAGGCACTTCTGTAATCACTGTTTTATGTACTTTCTTTTCTTGGGGGTGGGGGGATCTTTTTGAGACAGTGTCTCTCTATAGTAGCCCTAGCTGACCTGGAACTCACTATGTAGACCAGACTGGCCTTGAACTCACAGAGATTTGCCTGCCTCTGCCTCTGCCTCTGCCTCTGGCCACCTCGCCCGGCCAGTTGCACAATGGATAACACATCTGACTATGGTATTCTCTTTTTTTAAAAAAATATGCTGCCTTTTTGCAGACTTCAAGGAAGTGATTATATACAAGGTCTTTCATTCTAGATTTGTCTGATAAGCATTGTTTTCTTGTTTCTTTTTTATTTATTTTTATTTTTGGATGCCGCAGTCCAGTTGCGATGGATCCTAAAACCTGAGTGGGAAAGGTAGGGGATTAAGGAAAAAAGACACAGACACAGAAACAGCTGGGATCAGGAGGACCTGCAGGCCGATAACCATGCAGGCACTTTATTGCAGGGTAACAGTGTTTTTATACCTTGTCTCAAAGCAGGAAAGAATCTACTATAGAAATATAGCACAAAACCACAAGTTCCTTTGACCCATGCAGTTTCAATAATCACAGTTTCATTAATCACATGTACTTGAATCAGCAGTAGCCAAGCAGAACTTCTAAGACAAAGGCATGTACTAGGAACAGTTTCATTTATAATACGTAATTGTATAAGCAGCACCTGAGCAGAACTACTAAGAGAAAGACATGCACCTGGAGACTGATTATCAGAGACTTACCTGTATAGGCTCAGCCCCGGGTAAGCTAGGACAGGCCTTGCCAATATCCCTTTAGCTGCTCTCTGGGGGCCGGGAACTGCTTGTGCCTCGACCCTGAGTCAGCCAGGATAGGCTTTGCAAATATCCCATTGGCTGCTCTCCTGGGGGGCAGGCAGCCTGTACCTGGCAGTCCTGAATATTCAGCTTTTAACATTTTATTTTATGCATATGAGTGTTATTATGCCTGCATATAAGTGCACCCATGTCATGCATTGCCCATGGAGGACAGAAGAGGGCATCAGATACCCTGGAACTGGAGTTACAGATGGTTGTTAGTTATTGTGTGGGTGCTGGGAACCACCTGGATCTTCTGCAAGAATAGCCAGTGTTCTTAACCACTGAGCCATCTCTCCAGCCCCCTGTTTTCTTATTTCTTTTCCTTTCTGTTTTGTTTTGTTTCATTGAGGCAAGATCTTACTCTGGCTGGCTGGCTTCAAATCTGTGCTAATCCTCCTGCCTCATCCTCCTGAGTGCTAAGATTGTAGATGTACACTACAATGCCAACTTTTGCCTGTGAATTGGAAGTTAGTGGTTAGATTAGATTCAGCTTAAAATTTTCTAGGAAGAGCACCCTATAATGATGCCCCACTTATTTTCAAACAGAACATGTAATGTTCAGGTTGCTCAGCTTCGTGAATCTGAGTTTGATCATTTTGTTTGTGGTACCAGAGATTCCATTGTAAAAGCACATTTTGTTTGCAGTTACTCATTAATCTGTGTCATGTTAATCTAGAAAAATCCTATTCTTTTGCCTCTAATACTATAATTTAGTACCTTTTTATAATTTTGATCTTTGTCCTTCCTTACATTGTATGCTACAAAATAGTGATTTGTTAATTCTGTTCTTCAGCATGAGCATTCTTTTTTATTTTCCTTTTTTCCTGATTTTGGTTTTGTAATATACTTATTTTTCTGTGTGTATAATACACATACATAAAAGTGTGCATATTAGAAGCGTACAGCTTAATACACTTTCACAAACTGAACATTTTCATGTAAGAAGCACCCAGAACAAGAAATAAAATGTTACCATCACCCCAAAAAGCCTCCTTAATACTCCTAGTCAGCAGTGCAGTGCCAACTCTACCCTCCAGGAACAGTCACTGTTATATTAGCAGTACCTGGCTTTATATATTTATGTAAATGAAATTATGTAGTGTATTTATTTCTCTCTTGATCATCTTTATGAAATTTATATTGTTAGACAGTGCTTTCTTAATTTTCATTGTTATGTAGTATTCTGTTGTATGACTATACCACAATTTATCCTATTGCCTTTGGTTCACTTTTTATTGGTTATTAAGAATAGTACTGTGGGCAGGAGAGATGTCTCAGTGGTTAAGAGTACCAGCTGCTCTTCTAAAGGGCCTGGGTTCAGTTCCCAGCACCCACCTGGGGTTCACAACCTCCTGTAACTCCAGCTCCAGGGGTTCAGATGCCCTCTTCTGGCCTCCATTGGCACCTGCACTCATGTATACATACACCCAGAAACACACATACACATAATTAAAAATATAAGGGATTGAAAAGATGGCTCAGTAGTTAAGAACACTGGCTGCTTTTGCAGAGGACTCTGGTTTCATTCCCAGCACACATGGCAGCTAACAACCATCCTTAACTCCATTTCTAGGGGGTCCAACACCCTCTTCTGGCCTTTGTGGGTTTGCACACATGGGTCCACTTACGTACTTTCAGGCAAAACACTCATAAAATTTTAAAAATACTTTTAAGCCAGGTATGATAGTCCATGCCTTTAATCCCAGCACTTGGGAGGCAGAGGCAGGCAAATCTCTGTGAGTTCAAGGCCAGCCTGGTCTGCATAGTGAGTTCCAGGCCAGCAGGGGGCTATAGGGAGACCCGGTCTCAAAAAAAGACACCCCCCCCCAAAAAAATTAAAAAAAAAATCTTCAAAAAAAGTATTACTGCCATGAATATTTTTTTTTTGAGATAGAGTTTATATAGACCAGATTGGTCTCAAACTTGCTATATAGAGAAAGATGATATTGAACTTCTGATCTTTTGCTTCCATCTCGCAAGTGATGAGAGCCTAAGTGGTGGCTGTGACTATAGAACATGATTAATGAGGATTGTATTTTAGTAGACAAAAATGAGGTAATAGAATGATTTTTTGTCATTGAAGAAACATTTGAAAATATTTGATGCTCTTTGTTTCCCTTAGGACAGCAGCGTTCTCGGATGCTGGCTACTCTCTTTAAAGATGAAAGGTGCCAGCAGCTTGCTGCATACGGGATCCTAGAGAAAATGTACCTAGATAGAATCATCAGAGGAAATCAGCTTCAAGAATTTGCTGCAATGTTGATGCCGCACCAAAAAGCAACTACAGCTGACGGTAATAATCAAGTCTTATGCATATGTGGTGGTCAATAGTAGGTATAAACTAGTGGTAAGTATGTGAGATTAGAAGCATCTTGCCGTCTTTTATAATACTTCCATATAGTACTCCCTGATTTTAAAAAGGATTAATATTATATTAACTGATGGTAAGTGTCAAGCACAGACAGACATGACCTTGTGGTATATTTAAAATGGTCCCTGTTGGAAAGCATTTTGTGAAATAATGCTTTAAAAAAACAAAAAAAACTTGTGAGAGCAGAAAAATTAAAGATTATACCTATGACACTTTTTAAAAAAACTTATACAGATAAATAACAATAAACAGATTATAACAGAGTATAATTATCTAGTCTCGTTTTAGAGCAAAATTTAGCATAGTATCTTCCCCAAGGTTCTTCAGGGTAAAGTACTGTCAAGAAGAATAGAACTCCCCTGGGGCTGGGGAGATGGCTCAGTGGTTAAGAGCACTGACTGCTCTTGTAGAGGATCAGGGTTTGGTTCCTAGCACCCACATGGCAGCTAACTGTAACTCCAGTTCCAGGGAATCTGATGCCTTCTTCTGGCCTCCTCAGGTTTGCATGCATAGATGTACTTACTTTCATTGTAGACAAAATCATACACATAAAAAATTAATTAAAAAAAAGAATTTCTGTCATATTTTCTGGTTAAGGGATGTATTTGCTTAAAACAAACTGTCTTTGCCAAGAAAAAGGTTTTTAATATTCTTCATTATATTATTATTATTATTATTAGACCAGGCTGGCCTTGAACTCACAGAGATCCGCCTGCCTCTGCCTCCCCAAGTGCTGGGACTACAGGTGTGCATCACCACGCCCGGCTCATTATATTATTTTATATATGTTTATCTACAGATCTTTTAAAATAGCTTCTTTGATATTGGCAACTGATTGCTGCTAGGTGAAGAAGAGCTGATCTTCCTAAAACAAGGGACTCTAGATAGGCTGACTAGACCTCAGTGGATGGACTTGCACTGGGGAATGCCTTGGGACACTGACAACACAGTGGGCCTTAACAGGGCTGACAGAGTATATGGGCTCCATTGGGGAGGCTATGGATGGGTGCTAGTGGGGACGGGGTTATAAAGATGATTAAGATTGTTTGAGATGTTCTTTATGAAATACATGGAAAAAATCAATTAAATATTGATCAGAGTAGTAAAGATGATGGTTAAAGGTTATTACATGCCTAGAAATTTTCAAATTTAAAGATGGCCCCTTTTAAAGTATGAAACTAGTTTCAAATGTTTAACTGTTTTAAATGTTTATATTTATGTTTATATTTATATTTATATTTATTTAAGGTTCCAGCATCTTGGACAGAGCTGTTATTGAACATAACTTGTTGTCAGCAAGCAAATTATATAATAACATTACCTTTGAAGAACTTGGAGCTCTCTTAGAGATCCCTGCAGCAAAGGTATTTTCTTAATTTCAGTGCTTGTACAAAAGGGAATCAAGTAATGAGAAAATGCATACTTGATAAGAAAACCTATTTAAATGGCAAAATATCATTACAATGAAACTTCTTTAGTAGTTTTGTTTTTTTATATTGTTTTGTGATAACATTACCTAGAACGGAAATCTTAAAGGAGTTCCAAGTTCATAAGAATATCTTTTTGTTTGGTGTGTTTAAATCCACTGCAATGATTTCAAGTTTCTGAAATTTTAGATTGTGATATGTGCTTTGCTTGTTTCTTCTGCCCAAATTGACTCAAAGGTTTAATATTTTATCTTTCAAGATAATGTCTCTGGTAATACCTCAGGCTGTTCTCTTGTAATGTCTGTGATTGGTTTAATTTAAAGAGTTGAATGACATATAAGTGAATTTTATTTCATTCTTTGGATTTGGTTGATCAGACACAAATTGCAACAGAATACCAATCGTATTTAGAGTGCTTTAGTTATCATTTATGAAAAATGATGAAAATTTAAATATTTTATTATTTTTATTTTATGTGTATGAGTGTATTGCCTGCATGTATGTGAGTGCACCTGTGTCGTGCAATGCTTCAGAGTTCAGAAGAGGGCTTTGGATTTCCCTGGAACTGGAGTTAAGGATGGTTCGTAGCCTCCATGTGGGTGCTGGGAATCGAACCCAGGTCCTCAGCAAGAGCAGTCAGTGCTCTTAACCACTGAGCCATCTCTCCAGCCCCCATTCATGAAAAATCTTAATTTTAAATAATATTAAAAGTAGGCTGGGTGTGGTGGCGCATGCCTTCAGTCCCAGCACTTGGGAGGCAGAGGCAGGCATATCTCTGAGTTCAAGGCCAGCCTGGTCTACATAGTGAGAGCCAAGCCAGCTGGTGCTACAGGGAGAATCTGTCTCAAAAAGAACAAAAAAAAAAAGTAAGCACTCAGTCTTACTTTGCCTTATTTTTGTAAGCCTTAATTAAGGTCATGCAGTTTGGTAAGTTTTACTTTAGGATTTCTTTTTGTTTTGAGACAGGATCTCATGCTGCCTAGACTGGTCTTGATCTCAGTAGGTAGCTAAGGATGACCTTGAGCTTTGAATCTTCCGGCCTCTGCCTTCCAGTTACTGAGATTACAGATATGTGTGTTTCAGGTTTAATTTAGAATTTTCTAACTGTTTCTTTACCTGTACACATTCAGTAACGAATCGAATCAGTTTGGGAACTGAGATTACAGTTACCATTTGGGTTTTTTTTTGTTCTGTTTTATTTTGTCTGAGACAGGGTCTCCCTGTAACCCCAGCTGCCTGGAACTCGTTGTGTAGATCAGGCTGGCCTCCATTTCACAGAGATCCATCTGCCTCTGCCTCCCAAGTGCTGTGGCTGCTTCACCTGAGGGAGAATAGCTCAGAACACATAAGAAGGTAACAACAGCAAAAGCTGGGGGTGAGAAATACATAGAAATTAAAGTGAAATAAAATGGGAAAAATAAGCTCCCCACCCTCAGTCGAAGGCAAATTTTAGTACATTGCAAGGGGGTTGGGCAAGGGCAGTAGCAGAACTACCTGCCTTTTTTTTTTTAAAGATTTGGATCCCAGTGAAAAGAAAAATTAGGCTGATTCTGTAGCTCAGTTGGTTGAATGCTTGCTTAATCCCAGCACATGGGAGGCAGAAGCAGGCGGATCCCTGTGAGTTCAAGGTCAGCCTGGTCTACATAGTGAGTTCCAGGTCAGCTGGGGCTACAAGGAGACCTGTCTCAAAAAGACAAAAAAAAAAAAAAAAAAAAAAAAAGAAAAATTGGTATTTGTCTAAAATCTCACAACAAGCCTGGCTTGGTGGCACAAGTCTGTATTTTTTTTTTTTTTTTTGGTGTTTTTGAGACAGGGTCTCCTTGTAGTCCCAGCTGGCCTGGACTGGAACTTGCTGTGTAGATCAGGCTGGCCTGGAACTCACAAAGATCCGCCTGCCTCTGCCTCCCAAGCCCTGGGATTAAAGGAGCGCGCCAACACTTCCCAGCACAAGTCTGTATTCTTAGCACTTGGAAGGCTAAAGCTAGAGGATCATGAATTCTGGGTCAGCCTGGGCTATATAGTGAGATCCTGTATCCAAAAAGACCAAGCAACAATGACACACTCCCAACAAAGTAAAATAGATCTTAGCCAACTTAAAATAATGGCTTGTATGCAGAAAAAATTAGGAATATGAGATGTCATCTCCCAACAAATGATAAACTCTTGTAAATCTTAAAGACATTTGAGCCAAAGACTTTAATTTTCTCTTACATGTGTCTGACTCTTAGATATGATGTTTAAGTTTCTGATTTTTCTTTATAGGCAGAAAAGATAGCATCTCAAATGATAACAGAAGGACGTATGAATGGATTTATTGACCAAATTGATGGAATAGTGCATTTTGAAAGTAAGAAATTTTCATTGTAGTGAAATGGCAATGGACTGTTGCATATTTATGATTAAATATGTTGAATTGTTTCCTTTGACCCAGAATTATATTACTTGGAGTGAGCTTATTTACAAAAGAAAAATTTAAATAATATTTAAAGTTATGTTCATGAATCTACTTAATGCATCACTTCTAAGCTAAGGAAAATTTTGAAACTGGCATCATACCAGTTCACTCATTCAGTCACTTGATCTTTATTGACCCCAAACCATGTGTTGGGTGCATGCAGTGACAGTTGCATTTTCTATCAGCAACTCATTAAACTCATGCAGGTGGCAGGTAAGTGGATTCATTTACTTCTCATTGTCTATACCTTTCAGCTCTCATTCCCAACTTACACCTTGGACTATTCCACTTGTAAAGATCTGATTTGAAATGTTTCTTTGGACCACACAGTTTGGGGTGGTCCCCAGCGATCTGTCTTGGTCTCTGCCTCTTGCATCTCAGCTCTTCTTTCACCCCTGCAGCCACTAGTCGGTGATGTCTATACCCTCCCAGTCATTGCAGCCCTTTTGTGTCTTCTCTTTCTGTAGATTTTAGATTCATGATCTTTTAGTTCAATTCCATGTTCCCTAGAACACTTAAGTTGCCTATTGACTTTTTATTCCAGTTGTCCAGAAAACCCATCTTTCAAGCTTGTACTTAGTAGTAATGTTGCTGGTGGAGAGTCAGGAATCAGATAGACACCACAAGCTCACAAGTCCTTATCTCTGCCTGGGATTCGTGATGTAGTTCTTCAGACAATTCTTTTTCCTATATTGCAGTGATCCTTTCAGATTGAGTTTTCTTTTGTTTTAAAGATTTTACTTATTTTTTTATTTTTTCAGAAGCATTTCATTACAGCTTTAACATACTCATTAACAGTTTCCAGAGCAAAAATAGATCTCTTTCAAAAGTAGCTATAAAATTTTTAGGTTCGTTGTTGATTTACAGTTTAGTTATTACACTTATACAATATTGAACTCAGTATAAACCCTATAAGACATAAATTAATGAGTTTTTAACCTTTAAAAAAGATCTCCATTTCATTTAAAAATAAACTTTCTTACAGAAAGACTCATTGTTTTTGCTCATAACACAGATGTTGGTGCATACATCTCTAATCTGTATGTATCTGATTATTACTAGTCATAATCAGTTGCACTCAGATCATTGGCACCTGTGTATGTCTGTAAAGTCATTGGGTAGATTTCAATGGTAATGTTTATCACCTCTACTAATTAACATGAAGTGAATTTTTATCCTTCCTCCTCAAATATAATTCATTTTTTTTAATTTGTTGATTTTTTTGTGTGTGTGTATATATCACACAGAACATTCCAAACCATCTTATGCAACTGTACACCCACCTCCCATATGGGACCCTCCCATAGCCTCCCTCCTTCCACTAGAGCCCTTATACTCTGTTATCCCTGCTACTGTCTGCTGTGATGTCATCACCCCCAGCTGTTCCCCATTACTTGTCCATCTGGTGAATATAGTCAGCCTATCTAGAGGTCTTTGTTTTAGGAAGGTCAGCTGTTCCTCATCTTGCTGCAATCAGTTGTCAATATTCCTTTAGATAAGATTGGGTTCTGCTGTTTATTTTCCCAGTTCTATGCTGGGTTACTATCTGGGAGTCCTTTGGCCACCCTGGCCAACAAATCAAAAGAAGGTATCTCCTATCTGGCATTGTTGCTAGTTGCATGTAGCCTTTAGCTATACATATAGACTCTTAAAAAATTATATTGGCCCCTTTAATCTTTGGTTATACTTTCCTTTTGGGTGTTTAAGGTCATACAGTTGGCCCAGGTAAACCAGTTTATTTTTACTTTTTTTTTTTTTTTTTAGTCTTCTTGAGACAGGGTCTCTCTGTAGCCCCAGCTGTCCTGGAACTCACTATGTAGACCAGGCTGGCCTTGAACTCACAGAGATCTGCCTGTCTCTGCCTCCTGAGTGCTGGGATTAAAGGCATGCCCCTGGCAATTTATTTTTACTTTTAAGGCCATTTGAGGATCTGTTCCTCAGGAGTCACATGGGCTTGGGAGGAGTCCCTGGCTCCTTTCTTTTACCAGTTCTGCCTATGTGAAGATAAGTCAAAGGTCCTGATCAATCATGACTGGCTTCGCTTGGAAGCATGGAGGAAATGATTCCTCTGTGTTGACCCTCTTTTTTGTAGGCTGGACACTGGTTCAAGTCCATCTGGTGGGATCTCCTTGGACTCCTTGATTAAGAGGATAGGTGACCCACCACAATTACAGGACATTTTGAGAGATGCTCATAGTCCCCTGGAGCTAGTTGACCTAGGAGGGCAAGGAGCAAAAACTGTCCTTTATGTCCCTCTGACCAAATTAGTATAGGCCTCAAAGTATATCTGTTAAACATTCAAGAAGGTTAGTTCCACCAGTCTGGTAATTTTAATTACTGTGTGCTATGTAGATAAATCTTGGGTGAAGACCAGTTGTTCTCAGATAAACCTTGCCTAGACATATATTTCTGGATCTGCTATGTATAATTTGTCAGTAGGTTGTTGGACTAATATGGTTCCCTCTGGTTTTTGCTCCTAGCTAGGCATTATTTATCTCTCGCATTGTCTAACCCCTCCATCATGGTTTCCCCAATTAA